CACTCCCACCCCTACTCCCATCCCAAACCCCATCCCTATCCCCACCACCACTCCCAACCCCAGAGGGTGTCAAATAATTTCTACAACACATGGGATTCTACGAGCCACAGAAGAGCAGAGCATGATGGAAATAAAAGAGGCGATCATTTTTATAGCCAGTTAGGGTTTGTCATTACTTGTAAACAATTTAAATTGAAGAAGAGGTTGGAAAGAGGATACTGTCTTCTTCCTCAGATCCCCACTGGCCTCATGGGGCCATCTTGCCTGCAACTCTCTTACAGGATGCTAAGTAATCTAAGTGGCTTTTTATTTGAAAGTTTTTTACAACATTTCCACATTCTGGATCCCAAATCTGACTGACTCTATTTCAGTTCGAGCTCTACAGTCCAACCTAGAAGGTGCTGAAAAAGAAAACAATGAATCCATACAGACACCTGAGTCTTTATGTATTTTTACAGGATAATACCAATCATAAATAGATATTTGAGGTGGTTTATGTTTTGCAGGAGAAGTGTCTGTCCCTAACTGAATAACTCTGTGATTTAAGAAATTCAATGTGCATAAAGAACTCTATCTTCCTTCAAAAAATATTACATGTATATACAGCAATAAAATCTAAAATTCTTTTCTAAACTTTAAGGACAGGCACAGTGGGAGGAAAATTGGACACCGTCTAATCATATACACACATAATATACAAAGACATGTGCGAGCTCACAGCCATACCGAATGTAAGCACTGTCATTTACATTTAGAACACTTTTCCAGCCCATCTGAATTCTAGTCACTCACTCACAGGGCCCGGGTACCACAGATAGCAACTGGGAATCATTTTTCTGTTCTGCTCAAACTTTGGCCTCTTTAATCGCTTTCCTCATTGGTTCTCCTAATGTGTTCTGCACATCAGCTTGTTTAAGAAGATTTCTGTAAACATCAAATCCAAATTCCAGGGTGTTTCTCACCAGAAGCCATCTCTCCATCAAAAGCAGCTCACAGAGAGGGGCCACGTGGACTGTCTGTCCTAAAATGACCTGACCTCCCTTCACCTGCCCTCTCTCCTTCTCTCTAGACCTGTCATTGCTCCTCTGGCTCCAACACTCCCCTCAAACACCCTCTGGCACACACGCAATGCATTCACTCTCATTTCTGGAGTGTATTTAAAGCTGGGAAGGAAGAGGGTCGATCTTGCCCTTGGGGGATCTGATGCAGCACATGAAGACCCAGCTCCTTGAAGCTGACGGGAGGTTTTAGGCATCTTGCATACAATTATTCACCTGGTTGTCTGGGAAGGTTACCATGGTAACATTTCCAGAGTTTCATGTATCTACATGTCATTGATAGATCCCATCAATTCAGCAAAGGGGGAAAAATAGTAGCTCTCATCTCCTGTCTGGTCTGACGAATCACTATTTTACTTATTTGGGCATAATCTAGGAACAGCAACACGACACTCTTAATATGGTGGTTTTTTTTTCACTCAAGTATATTTTAAAGATGAAAATCAAAGTCCAGCTGAAGAGGAATTTTTCTGTTTTATTCTTTCATTTTCTCAAGTATTATACTCAGGAGTGACTTCAGCTGCTGGCTACGGCATACTTTAATTACTACGTATTGGGCCAAAAAAGGAAGCTCTAAATTCTAAAACCATCCCTGACAGAAAGGATAAACATGGGAAAAGACAGCAGGAGCTCTATAGTAACCTTGAGTGACTTCTATAACAGTAGGCACATGCATTTCCGGAGAGAGATATCAAACATCTTCCTTTTGGTCCTCTGACTGAAGACAAAAGCTCTCTTCATGCACATCTTCTAAGGGAAGAGAAAAAGTCCTACCTATTTTACTAAAATAGTTCTTATTAAAAGGCCACTATGAAAAGAAATAACTGAGGAGTTTGTAATGAGGACTCAATTCTCATCAAAGCCTTGCTATAGCACAAAGTTTAGCCTTGGACCTTGGACCTTGGACCTTGGACCTTGGACCAAAAGGTAAGCTGGATATTTACATGGTGCCCAACATTAGCCATGCCTTAGAGACTTAGATGGCAGTCATCCTTGGAGGGTCATCTCCAGAGACAATGAAAGAGATTTTCATAATTTGCAACACCTTGGTCAAGCTTTGCACTTTAGCTTTCCAACCTGGCTTCCATGCAGGGAAGTAATAAGTCAATGTGGATACAAGCTGACAAGTTGGAACAGCCATAAGACAGTCCCTAGAATCCACAAAGATCATCGTGTGCCTCTCTCCAAGCCATTATGCTAAAGGTAAGTCAACGTGACATACCTGTGGGTGACCCTTCCATGACGTGGCCGATGTAGGGACCTTCCCGAAAGATCGGTCGGTTGTCATTCTGATCAATCACAATGACTTCCAGAGGCACCGGCCCCTCGAGAGTTTTGCCATTGACATCAGTGGTCTCCACAAATAGCTATTTGAGCAAAGAGATTGGGGGAGAAAGAAGATATTAATTCATTATGAAAATTGAAATAAGATTCTCTAGAGAAAGTAGGTTATATCAGCAATTTTATGAGCCCTTGGCAATATTAAAACTTTGGTCTCAATGGATAGTCACTGGGACTAGAATAGAAATGAAACATTCCAGAATAAAAGGCAAAGATCAGTTCACTTTAGATCCCCCTTGGGAAATTTACAATTAATTCATCAAATCTGCAAAGAAAGTTAAAACAAACAAACAAAAAAACCCCAAAACATAAGTAGTCATAGCCAAGAAATTATGCTTATATCATTTCTGTTCTCCCAATATCATTATGCTTAAAAAGAATGTTATGCTAATAAAAATAATTGACTAAGCAGTTATGAACCAAGTACATTAAGAGGTAACCAAAAGTGTTTATGGCAATCTCTTAGGAGAAAATCAGTCAGTATTTGTAGGGGGCTTTCCTCAGGAAAGCTAGGAACTCAGAATTTGCAGGGGCCTGAATGAGATCTTGGGATTCCTGCCTACCAGGCTCTTTACAATCTCAGAGGATTTCACAAGACCATGAATCACTTCTACAGGGAACCACTTTCAGATCTCAATGAAGAAGGCAGCATAAAAAAAAACAGGATTTTGTTTGTCTTGGAAACAAAGAATTATGCCATGGCATTTCCAGTGAATCACAGGGACCTTACATGCACATTTTCTGTGCTTAATTCAACCTTGATTTAACTCAGTGATAAGAGTAATACTTCTTCTTGGATATAAGTGGTGGTTCCTGCACAGGAGTATTTTGGTCAGAAAAGGGCCTCTGCATTTGGAATCCTAGTACAACTCATCCCTATCTTTGTGACTTTGAGCAAGACACTGGATCTCAGTTTTCTCATCTGTAAATGGGGTTAAAAAAACACCCATTATTATGAATAATAACAAACACTTATCCAGTGCTTCCTTTGGTTCTATACTAAATTATCTCACTTGATTCTCATAATAACCCTTTGGATCCTTTTACAGAGGACAGAATGACAGCAAACAGGAGATAAATGGTGGAGTCCGGATTTGATCTTGGGAAGTCTGCCTGCAGATCTCACATTTTTAACCACTATAAACAATATTTCTAAAGCATTTAATATAGGGTCTGTCACATATCTCAAGAATATTAACTGCTGCTATTGTTGCTACAATTATCGATACCATTGTCAAAAACGAGCCCAAATTAGAAAAATGAAAGACAAACATTCTTGTTATAAATCAGTACAGTCACATCCCACCTGATGGTATTGTAAACCAGTATAATCCTTTTCAAAAGCATGGCAAAATTCAACAGAAACCATGAAAGACTCATACTTTGTACTATTTTTATACCACTCCTGATCCTATATAAGTTTGCAGGAACGATTCACTGCATTGTTATTTCTCATAATAAAATCACACTGGCATCCGCCTGAATGTCCAGTAGAAGCAAACTAGTTGAATGAATGAATGTGTCACAACATGTTACAATACAATAATTTTTAAACTTTACTGATCGACTTAGAATATTGAGTAAAAATACACAAAATAACATGTGCATCATGCATATATGACATACAAATATGAACAGAATTTGAAGGCAGTGAGCAAAACGAAACCAGGTATGTGTGCGTAGATAATTTTTTTCTTTCTTTCTTTCTTTCTTTTTTTTTTTTTAACATTACTTCATCCTTTTACTAGCAAGTTCACACACAGACATACACACTTGATTTCTGGGGCAAATAAAATAATGCAAATAATAAGAAAAAATTAAGTGAACAGAGCCTCCTAGTATCTGCACACAAAGGAGATCTTACAGAGAGTGAAATCTTATACTTTTATGTTTTTTTTAAAGCTATTATGAGAATACTGCTAACAAAGGAAATCAATCAAAATAAAGCTTTGGGGCAATTTTATGTAATAACATAGGTTTGGTTTTTCATCTTCCCAAAATAGCCAAGGACTTGACTTTAACTCAACCGAAAAAACAAAACAAAACAAAACAAAACAAAAAAACCAAAAAAAACCCACTGTGCCCAAACAAACATCTTGGATCTGAATCCTAAAATTCTACATTCTATAAGACTTGGCCAGTATCACAAGTTACAAGTAGGATAGATAATCAGAATTCACATTTGCCAAATATTCAAATATGCTGAAACTGGGAAGGGCAGACAACAGATCCATCTTAACACAACAGAAAGAAAGGAAGAAACTAAGGAGACACCATTGATTAGGATGAATGCAAAATGTGGAGCCGAATCTCAGAAAACCAATTTTGCAAACAGACAATCAAATGGTATTTTATGATACAAAACTATTCAGAGTTTGACTCTTAGACTTTTCAAAGGACAATAATATCAACAGAAGCCAAGACCTTTGGAATGCTCTCTAAAAACAGTGAAGTGCTGTTAAGTGGGATTTTCTTAAAGTTAATTTAATACGAATTATTTGAGGACCCACTACATGTCAGCCATCATGCTGAACACCCTGGTATCCAGTGGTTATCAGGAAAGATACCCTAGCATGGAGAGACTAACAATAAACAAGAGAAAAACATATGAACAAGGTAATTTCAGTCACAGATGAGGCCTTTGAAGGACATGAGATAGGTTTGAGTACGAAAGTTTCACTATCAAATACTGTAGCTGCTAGCAGCATGTGGCTATTGCAATTTATATTTATTAAAATGAAAAAAACTCAGTACTCCAGTCAAACTAGGGAAGTTTTCAGTGCTCAATAGTCACATGTGGGTAGTAGCTACCATATTAGACAACATGGATGTAGAACATTTCCATCACTGGATAGAGTATGATTGAAAAAGTGTGTGTGTGGTGGGGGGTGGGTGGAGGGCAGGCGGCACCTATTCGAGATAAATGGTGGAAAAAACCTTATTGCTGAGGGAATGTTTCAGCTGAGGCTTGAATGACAAGAAAGTGGAAAGAGATAGCCATACAAAAATACATGGAAAATGATTTCTAGACAGCAGGAATAGCAATAGCAGACTTTGAGGTAAGAATGATCTTGGAACTAATTTGAGAGTGGGGAATGGTATAAGATCAAGTCAAATAATTAGGGCTCTGCTCAACTCCAAATGGAGTAGGTTAAGGCTTACATCCATACAAGATTTTTTGCGTAAAAAAATCTAAACCAAGTGAAGAATGAAGACATTTTCCTCCTATGCGTCCCTGGGAAGGCAGAGATGAGAAAGAAGTATATCATGCTTTTTCCCAACAGAGGAAAACATAATAGACGGAATAAAATATATAATAGGAAATGTTTGTGTTTTACATAAAGGTTCATGTAGTTTTAAAATCATCTTATTAATGACGTGGATGAAAATTAAGCACATGCGTATGCATGAGGAAGTTGTTAGTAAATACAGCCTTATCCACCCAATCACATACCATAACAAAATCTGACATTCCTATGAGTTTTCATCACTGTTCTCATATGAAGGTCAGACCCGCAGTTAGCAAATGCCAAACTTTCTGAAGTCAGGCTCTTAAATTCCAGCGCGTCCTCCAGTATCAGAGAATAAATGTTCAATTACGTTCTTGCCTGCCTTCTTTCTTCCTAATTGAAATACCCAAAGCACACAAATCCTTAGTTTGAAAAGACTAGAACAATGCTTGTTTCCTTTGAATTACATGATAGATTCAAGTGGCTATGTTTGGGTTCTAAAAACAAAACAAGCTCATATGCATTCAAAGACAGGCATTCTGATGCTTGTTCTTTATGTTGGAAGTAAGATGCCACTTGGTAGAAACTTACTGTGAGAAAAACAAATAGGTAGCCATGGCAGAAGGCAATGAAATACTTGCTCAAAGGAAATGGAAACCATCCAGCCCCCTCACTGCCTACTTCGAGGCCACCCCCTCAGACAAGAGGATTTCTATTATTGGATTCAATCGTTAACCTGCATGGGAATAAGAAGGTGTGATATAAACAAAAAAACGTCCGCTGTGGAACCAGATGAGAGGGGCAATCAATAAACGACAGCTAGAAACAGTTGTCCAACGTCGCAGGATTTAATAACTAATTCCATAGGAGGTAGCCCGAACTCCGAGCAATGACATGTCTGGCCAATGTCTGTGCTGTGTGTTCTAGTACCTTGCTATTCAAAGGTACTAACAGCATTGACATCCCCCAGGAGCTGGTTAGAAATGCAGGCTGCTCAGTCCTGCCTAGAACCTACTTAGGAAATCCGTCCATTTTAACATTGTTTCTAGAGAATTCTAGTGCACATTACTGTTTGAGTGACGTTGTACTGAGACACAGGGTTTGGAGATGGAAATCCAAGGGTCTTGTGAAATTTGGGAACTGTATTCCCAGGTTCAGCTATAGGAAAATAAATAAGCTCCAAATAGGAGGCTGAGTCTTGCCACCTGCTAGGAATTTCACTATGTGGCTGTTGGACTCATTCATCACCCCCAAGTACACAGGCCAGGAAAATAGATGTCGTCTGTAGGTCTATCTGGAGAAGCATGCGCACGTATGCACGTGCGCGCACACACACACACACACTCAGATGCAGGCAGACATATATACACATACCACAGACACAGCACACACGTACAAATATACACATACAAATATACACATACACATACATTTCCCACAAACATCAATTTTTTCCAATCTCCTTCTAATCTTCAACTGTGCATGCTGAACGCTTAAAAATCCTATTTTGCCTGATCACTTCTTGAGAAGTTGTCAAATACAAAACAGGTAGAAGGGAATTGGTTACTAATTGAAAATTGAAACACTGCAGAAAACCAAGAAAAATGGGGAGGTCCCAGAGATGGGAAAGCTCACAGAGGATGGTAATGAGTGTTGGGGGGCCCTGCATTTTCTTAGCCGTGGTGTGATTTTTGGCCCACAACAGAATTGTTTTCCTCCATTGAGACGAAATATCCCAGCGGGGAGTAACTCATTCAGCTTTATCATTAGGGGGCCCGTGGGTAAAAAGTTAGATT